TTAAATGATAATACCTCGTGCAACCACTTAATGGATATTAGGAAGACAAAGATATTTTTGAAACAATATTATAAACCATAAATGGAAAAAAATCACATTGTATTTTAGTAGTATTTTAAAATTAAGATGCATTTTTAAGTTTCCTTCATTTCCACTCATTTTAAAAACTTTCGTAAGAAAAACAAAACTCCTGAGTCGAGGAGATGTTTATTCAGTAGAATAAACCCTTCCTTGGCAAGTGCAAGTGCCTCAGTTCAATGCCCAGTGCCATGAAAAAAAAGAAAGAAAGAAAAAGAAAAAGAATAGAAGGGAAAAGGAAAACAAAATTCCTGTGTAATTGGAAAATAACTATTGCATAGTGTATTGATTCATATAGATAAATTATAAATATGTTCTTTTGTATGCTTAAAGATTAAGAAATGCATGAATTGTCAATAAAAAGTAAAATAAATATTTTTATTCCTACATAACATGCTTTAAAGTGTAAAAATACTCAAGAGGAATTATGTGAACTCAATTCATTCAACAAATGCTTGGAAAATATTGATCACATTCTTCAGAATGAAAGAACCTGGAAGCCAGAAATTGATCATACCCAGGCCTGGCACCTCCCTATCTGGAACTTAGAATACAGACAAATTTTTTTTAATTTAGAGAAATCAATGCAAAATATATATTGTAATTTTATGTGTAAACAATAGTTTTATTAGCAGACAACTATATAATGGAAGAAACTGACATGTTTAAAACTGACATTTTACTTGAATCAAAAATTAATCAGAAGTAATAACAGCAAAGTATTGGGGGCAAATTGATACTCTAAATTGCAATCCTATTGCAATATATAGTTTCAAGCATAAAAGTTCTCTGAATCAATTAATGCAGTTTTAGTTGTTTTTCCTGTTAATATTCTCTAAACTCTGTGCTCATGACAAACTCATCACCTCTTTATCTAAACTATTACCTGGTACAGATAGACCTATTAACAATAACTTTATACAGTAATGCTCAGATATTAAATATGAGAACCTAGAATGAGATGCTGTTTAATTTGGCACTTTAAACCAGCAGTCTGATATAAAAACAAAAATGAATAAATTCCAACCATAAGTTTTAAATTATTAACTCCATTTAGAAAATAGTGCATTATATTAATAGAACTACTTATAAGAATCCAAATTAGAAGCACTCTGTTTTTGGGAGGGGTGGAAATTTCAACAAAGTGAGTCTATTTAATGATCTACTGCCTGACATAGTTGAACTATGTGAGTTTGATGTAACAGTTCTTCACAGGGATTTTGGGTGCTCCGATGCTTTGTCTAGGGCACCATCTCCCCTAAATGTTCGGCTCATAGAAGGTGTTCCGATACTTAAACAGTCTTCTTCAAATGCTTTCTATTTTCTTTCTCTGTTTTTTCTGTGCCTTGATTCGTATAAGAATAAATTATCAGTGTGATCTCTGTATTATTGAGTAGTGCCTGGCTGTGCCGTGTCACTTTCCTAAGCTTTTCCAGAATTTGTAAAACTTAAGACTGTGTAAATCACTATAATCTCTTGTCCTTCTGAAAAC